AAGCGAGTCACGCATCTTATTCTTCGGCAATAAAAGAGAAGCGAAGTACAGCTTCGAAATCAACAAGCGAGTGATCTATCGCGTTCTGCGAAAAATCGCGTGAGATCGTATCGCATCGCGCGTTCGCGCACGCAAATTGGCCATTTAACGTTTCCCATTTCCTGCTCCTCAGAGAGATTACGATGTTGTACCCGCACAGAGAACCGCGCGAGCACGACAAATAATGAATGCTCGTAACCATTTTTCTTCCTTTGCTCGTACCGCCGTTAATTCGCACAAGTTTCGCAGTTACTCGGTATTTTTCTCGAAAATCTCCAGTTCTGTCGCAACCAACATCTCAATTTCCGCTTGTATCAGTGGCTTATATTACGGGCGCTTTTTTATTCGTACCGGCGCCGCCGGACGGCTTGACTTCAGTCCTCATGCATAATTATCATCGCAATTTCAGCTTCTGTTCTCGGATAGGAAGCATCGGATAGGAATAAACGTGGCGACGATGGCGATTAAACAAACACACACAACGTATAGCTATAATTTAAAACTCATTTATTGAACATGACATAAAAATCACGATACATAATAATGATAAACCGAAGTCTATTGTAAGCGCGCGCGCGTGCGCGCTTCGAAAACTTTAGATATATTATCCATTTGTAATCTTTCTCAGCGTAATATTTCATGTTTGTTTGTGTGTGTGTGTGTGTGTGTGTGTGTGTGTGTGTGTGTATGTGTGTATGTATGTATGTGTACGTATGTGTGTGTATGTGTGTGTAATCTCCTTATCAAACCCTAACAGACGGTTACTTTATACATGTATGTATAATCGTTACGCATGGAATGTACGTCTACCGTCTCGCTTTTCCTCGCATCTGTTTTCGATCCACGTCACAAAGTTTCCGGATAATTAATGGACAATTCGACAATACGGATGGCTCAGCTCTCTTGTTTCGCCCATATCTTAATATTTTATTCTAAATATTCTTAATATTTTATCAACTTCTAAACTTGTTCTAAGCGATAGACGGAATAACGATAAACTTTTCATAGATTCAAGCGCTAAATAAATATTCTACTCGCCAAACTGACCTTGTATGAAATTTCTTTTCACTCCTCACTCGCCAGGATTCAATATTTAATTACTGAAGAACTTCATGAAATCCGAACGGAAACGTGTGAATCCTGGAAATGCTCGCGGCCGACCATATCGGCAAGTTAAGATGTACCAACGCGAGAAGGTCCTGCGAGAAAAAGCGAGCGATACGGATTCTCTCAACAACGAAAGCCGCTATCCGTCAAAAAATAAATATGTTAATGTAAACACGAAAGATAGTGTGTAGGTAAAGAGGCGAGAAATATATGAGGCGGCGTAATCTCTCCTAAGTACGCCGCCACGTAAAATGCGGGGCGCCTGACTGGGCCCCACTACTATTCTACTTTTTTTTTTTCTTGTCATTTTATCATAATCGTGGGCTTTTGGCAGTGATATTCAATCGTCGTGAATGAGGAGAAAGTACTTGAGCAATCGGCGACAACGTTGGAACGGTGTTGGAATCACGTCCAAGTAACCACGTTAGCAAGTACTGCTTTTGCAAGACGAATCTTGTCTCTTGAAATATATATAAGTCAATTTTTCTGTTTAATAAAACGCTCGGTCAGAAGTAGAAATCAAGTCAATTTTCAAAGTCAAGGGAATTTTGATTTTATCCGTTATTACGTTGAAGGAAATGAAAATGGACGAATCAATCATTTTCCTGTCATTATGTCGCATATCGAGTATTAACAGGAACCTTAAATTTTTATTCGTGCCATAACGCGCGTATCTCGACGGTTTATTGATTTTTGCTGAAAGTATTGGCGCATGGTCACACGTCGCCGCAAGAGAAGGAAAGGAAAGAAACGGGGAAATCTCGTTTCGATGAACTCGCAAAAGTCTCGATGCTTCTCCTCAAACACACGCTAAAAATCCGCTCAAAATGTCCCGAATGAGGTATAACAAATAACCATAAGACAGTAATAGTAATACAAAAAATAGTCAAATCGTCGCGTAATAAATATATACATATACATATATACGCGCGCACACATATATATACATATATATTATTTACTATATATGTATACATATATATCTGCATGTGTACAGCTTTTTGCAATCGCGATGCGACCGTAGAATGAAAGTGGATCGAGAGATCAGAGGATTAATTAAGAAATATTTACTCTTTCGATTTATATTTTCAAAGATGATCGAAGATCAAGTATGATGCAACAAACATTTAACAGAGAGACTTGACAAATTTTTTATTCCGCACGTGTGCGTTCATTAAGACGAAGCGAGAGAAAGTCCCAATCCACGTTTACTCCGCGGTCCGAGGCCGCCGTAATAAATAGATCGCATTATATCTCGTCAATTTCTAAACTCTAATAACATCTTTTCTCTTCTAATCAGTACGAATCAATCAGCGAAACATCGGGACGCGTGCGAAGAAAGTCATATGACGGCCGATTGTGTAGCCACAATGGGCAGTACGAGCGGAAAAACGCTCCTTGATTGAAAAAAAAGAAAAGAAGAAAATAAAAAGATAAACGCGAGAAGCGATGAGGATAGTCCAGATACAAAAAGCTTTCAACCTATTCGTTAACGGGAACTCACGCGAGACGTTCAAAGCTTTCTGAAGGGAACATAACATTGCGCAATCTTCCAACTGATTTCAAAACTAATCCTTCACCTCGCATCCCAATGTCTCGCCCAGCACCACGGCGTATCTCGCCCTATATCGATATTTAAACTTTTGTCTCTATCTCTGTTTCCCTTGTTTTTTTTTTAAGCAGTCTTACGAAAAGCGGCAACTTTTGGAAATTATTCAAGTACGCGCCTCCAAAATAATTCCCTCCGACTCAGCTTTTATCCATGCTAACCGCCGTTCGCGAGTGATCCTCCTTCTCACTCCCCCCTCCCCCCCTCTCTCTCTCTCTCTCTCTCTTTTCTCGTCCCCTTGCCATCTGCACCCGATCTGAAATGCAGGTTGAGCTATGCAAATTTTCAAAATTTTCCGCGTGATATCTACCGACTAACAAGGGAACTGTCAGGGGTGTCCCTCACCGATTTGATTCTCCTTGAAATATGTTATAAAACAAACAAATCAAAGAGACACGAATTTTTTTATATCGGCCCAATCTCATGTTTAAGGGATGAAACAACCATTTGAAAAAAAACGGTCTTTTTCTTTGAGATCGAATATTGTCGAAACTATAAGATATACAAAAAAATTGTTTCAACAAAATTTTAATGGTTTGAAGAGTACTTTGAGGTTATGTAAAGAAAAATTTTTTTTATTAAATATTTTTTTATTTAACCACCACCTCCACCCCCCCTTGTTGCAAAATTAAAAATTTTTTTTTACCAAAGTAAAGGTTATTTTTTTCCAAATTCAACCATGTATAATAAAGTAACGTTACGAGAAATCATTTTCGAGAATTAATTGTTATCGCCTCCGTATATACGTTTATCTATCAGTTCGTCACGTTCGTGGAAACAAAATGTGCACCGCCTAGTAATAAGGCGACCGTGTATCTAATGTGAGCATATAATATTCACAGTCAGTACAGTCTTTATACTCTGTTCTTCTATTATACACCATCTTTATATTCTATCTTCTGTTATACTCACATCAGTGGAACTTGCTAAACCACGAGAATACGAGAACTTTCATGTGAGAGGTACGTAAATATTCTACGAGCTACTGTCTTTTACATATTTTTCTCGACATAAATATGTTCCTTAATGTCTGGTGTATCGATGAAAAAAAGAAGAATTAAAATCGGTTAATATTTTGTATTGTTTTAGGTTGAATGTTGAATATAAAATAGCTTTTACCCAATTATCGGAAGCACGTAAAAATTTTGAAGTGGTTGAAGTTAGGAGTAAATAGTTTTTATTACAACAGACAGCAAAGTTTAACATCCTTGGAAATGATTATTAATCCACGTAACGTTGTTAGACGTTTTATTGATGTCAATAAATTCAATGTACTTAATAGAAACGCCAGTAACTGAAGCAGAAATAGAATTAAAAGAAAACATACAAAAAGTATTACTGGATAGCATTTTTCATTATAATGGGTTGGAAGTAACGGAAGAAATATATCTCGATTATGAAGAACCTTATAAATTACACAGTCCGAAAATAATTGAAGATGACGAAGAAGCATGGGGTGAAGATAATTTGAATTCTCAACCTCAATGTTCAAATGTTGACGAAGATTTTGACAATTCTTATAAAAGACGGGCTGTTGAGTATTGGCGGAATAGAGATAATGAAGAAAATAATAACAATAGAACAAGGAGTCGTTCTCTAAAATCAGTGCAACATACATTTAAAAGAGTTTCATCTCTACGTCAGTTAAGACGGTGGGAAGAACAATTGCAATCAGGTGGAAATCGTGTAGAAAAATTATCTTACATCTCCAAATTTACACATGATAAATTTACTGCTGCTGTTGAATCAGGATTCATGGTTCATGATATTGATATAAAAAGATGGGCTTTGCAAGCTCAGGAAGAAATAGGAAATTTACATCCTATATTTAAAGCATCTCTCAGTTGGGTAGCAAAATTCAAAAAGTCCCACCGAATTGTTTCAAGAAAAGTTACGAAGTTTGTCACTAGAAGAACATTGGAAGATTCTGTTGATTTGCAAAAAACAACTGATGATTTTTTGAAAGCAGTAAAGCCTCTTATTGAACAGTTTGGATTTGAAAATATTTATAATTCAGATCAAAGTGGTTTCCAATTGGAAATTCATTCTGGAAGATCATTGTCTAACGAAGGAGAAAAGAAAACAGAACGTGTCGTGCAGTCTATATCATTAACAACACATTCATACACGATACAACCAATAATATCGTGTGATGGCAAATTGCTGTCACCTTTATTTATTGTGTTAAAAGAAGTTCATGGTAGATTTGAACCAAGAGTAGAAGAAAACTTGTTTAAACCAATAAATGTTATTGTAAAAGCATCGAAATCTGGCAAAATGACATCAGGTATAGATATCCTTTTATAACTATTTCATATTTTATTTAACAATCTAAAAGGCGTCATGAAAAAGCTATTAAATTAACATTTACATTTCTTACAAATCATTTTAAAATGTGGTTAGAAGAAGCTTATTTTCCAAACATTGGTTCTAATAGCGTTCTTCTTATCGATTCATGGACTGGACATTGCCCTAATATCATTTCGGATTTAACACCTTCGGGAAAACGTATTATTACTATGATAATATCAAAAGGCACTACAAGAAAAATACAACTATTAGATGTGTATGGATTTAGAATTTGGAAAAATTTTGCTAAAAGATTTTCAGATATTGTTTTACTATTGGAAAGCAATATAAATTTGCATGAACGAAATAATATAATAAAGTTGCAATCACTGATACATAATCAGTTGTCATCCCCACGATATCACAACTTGTTTAAATATTCGTGGTTTAAAAGCGGTTATACAGACGAAAGACCAGAAGACTTTAAAAACCCTGTACAGTTTAGTTTTGACGAAACTTCAATTACATGTGACATCGAAGGTTGTAACAATATAGCGGTAATAAGATGTTCGTGGTGTAAAAAGTCATTATGTTTGAAACACTTTTTCCACAAATATCATTATTGTAATGAGTATAATGAGAGCGAATAACTCTAAATATAAATTTATTATATTCTTTTAATTATTAAGTATGTTTATGAATTATTGTGTAAACTACAAAATATAAAAGCATAAATATGTAAAAATATGTACGAAAATATCCGAAAATATATACAACAACATCAGTCCTTAATCCCTATGAGCCATAAACCCTTCATTGGATGTACGTGTGATTTTTTAGAAATATTTTATTATTATAATTCACAAACGTTTCGGTCATATATTTGGCCATTAATGTGCTCTTCTAAAACAAATAATTCTTCTCTAGTACTCTAAAGTTGTCTTCTTCATATTACGTGCGCTTAATATGTAATGTCTTTCCCAGGGAATCGCCAAAAGCCATTATATATTTTCGAATCTTATTAGTAGGTTCAGGAGCCCCAACGCGTTAGGACGACGGGGTGCGTAAATGAAAAGAAAAAAATGAAAGAAAGAAAGAAAGAAAGAAAAGTTGTAAGTTATATAGAAAACTTTAAAAATTTTATTTGAAGCATTTTTTTATATATGTTTTACTGGTTGAACCATAATTACCTGCGCACATAGCACAGATAAGCGTATATACGGAGGCGATAACAATTAATTCTCGAAAATGATTTCTCGTAACGTTACATTATTATACATGGTTGAATTTGGAAAAAAATAACCTTTACTTTGGTGAAAAAAAATTTTTAATTTTGCAAAAGGGGGGATGGAGGTGATGGTTAAATAAAAAAATATTTAATAAAAAAAATTTTTCTTTGCATAACCTCAAAGTACTCTTCAAACCATTAAAATTTTGTTGAAACAATTTTTTTGTATGTCTTATAGTTTCGACAATATTCGATCTCAAAGAAAAAGACCGTTTTTTTTCAAAGGGTTGTTTCATCCCTTAAACATGAGATTGGGCCGATATAAAAAAATACGTGTCTCTTTGATTTGTTTGTTTTATAATATATTTCAAGGAGAATCAAATCGGTGAGGGACAGTTCCCCTGATAATTCCCTTTAAGCTTTCTCTTAGATCCAACGTAAATGTCCGAAAGCGCGAATCGACGAATGCTGATCGGAACCATTTCTCTCTCGAATTGTAATGAATCCTGTAGAAGAGAGTGATTCTCTTTTATGAAGGAATATTCATCGACGTGTGTATCGGGTCCACACGTTCTTCAGTTGCATCTGCCGTGTGAAATCTATCTTGAATTTTGGTAGAAATTAAAATTCTCCAATATACTACTTTTGCTCTCACGGTTCAGATTTGGACACAGTCGACAAACGCTTTCAAAGCCTCAGCCTCTCTTAATATTATATATACGTTAAAACGGACGTAACACGACTTCAAAATGCTCGCGCACCTATCAGAATTCCTTCGCTTTTATTCATTTACTTTTCGGAAAGGTCCGAAGACAATGATCTTCGTGTCCTTCCGGAGGGAAAACAAACTATCGGAGTTCTGCTTTATATTTCACTGTTGTTCAGTGCAATCTAGAGGAAACTTGTCGATTCGGTTTTCAAAGGAAAAATCGCGAGTCTGCGACGGAGAATCGAAGTGTTCGCACGAATTCTCGTCCTAACTATAATGTCTCCTCACTCCCTTAAACGCTTCCCCCTTAATCCGTTAATCGTTGCAGACGTAATTCTATCTTATAGCTTATGGTATCACAGAGTTACACGCGGTATCGCTTAATTGCTCCCAGTTCGTAATCTCCGACACGCATAGGGATAGAAAGAAAGCGCGCAAATTATATTCTCCGCGAAGAAGCAGGACCGTTGCAGACAAACGTGAAGGACGTCAAACAACTGGAACCGGTTTCATTTTCTGTTTCTTTTCAGATGTATTGTCAAACTATAAAAATCTAAGAGATAGGTATCTTTTCGTAAGAACTATCTCCTCAATTTGAACGAGACAAAACTACCCCTCTACAAAGTGCTAATTCAGTGTATTCGACATCGAATAAAATTATCGAAATATTCTAACCTTTCGTTTTAACTTTGACATTGTTCCACCGTAAAAATTTCAAAAGTAGCTCATATAAAAAGTTGTACACACCTCTTGGATTTTTGTACCTAATATTACATTTAAAAAAAAAATCAAAATTTGTTGTAGACGCTTGTGACAGATTTCTCACAAGTGTTATTCACGACCTTGTAATAATGAATGTAAACTTCTCCGACGCATAATTTATAACTCAATTATGTATGTTCAACTGTGTATGTGACGATATATTTCTATATTGCAGATGATACTATATAACATAGACAGATTGTTTGGCTCTAAGACTGAGATATCTCTAGGTCGGATTGGTTATTGAAAAGCAACCGATATCTCGGTATCAATCATTCGATTAACTAATCGAATGATTGATGCCGAGAGGGGGGAGAGAAGAACAAATTCTCCCCTTTACCCTCTTCCCTCCTTCTCTCTCTCTCTCTCTCTCTCTCTCTCTCTCTCTCTCTCTCTCTCTCTCTCTCTCTCTCTCTCACTCTCTCTCTCTCACTCTCTCTCTCTCTCTCTCTCTCTCTCTCTCTCTCTCTCTCTCTCTCTCTCTCTCTCTCTCTCTCTCCCTCATTTATCAAAATCGAACAACTTTAGATTGGTAAATTTCAGATAAGAAAGGAAGATACCTTTCACACGAGAGAAATCTTTCTCATGACGGAAGCATCGCTTCTTCTTCCTCGTGACACTTGACGTCCTATGCACGTACCATCCGCAAGGACATACATTTCTCTCTCTTTCTCTCTCTCTCTCTCTCTCTCTCTCTCTCTCTCTCTCTCTCTCTCTCTCTCTCTTTCTCTCTCTCTCTCTCTTCGAACTCGACTCGACTTACAACGGAATAATACACTATATCCATATATTAAACAGAAAAAAAGTTAACAAGCCCTTAATTTATAGCGACAACGCGAAGCAACAAATACGGACACTTCGGGCGCGAGTTACTATCGGAAAAAAAATATACGTTGTTACATCTCCGATGACGAATACGACGCGAATGACGTTTCGTTTAAGAAAATATCTGCATTCGATTCGTGTGGTGGCCGCGATTTAGGAAAACAGGAACTCTCCGGAATGATGATGAGTTTCGCGTCTTTCGTGTGCAACGCAACGAACGAGTACATCGTATGTTGCAGATTTATTTAATAATATCGTACGTATGTGTTCATCGGGCTTCTTCATGTAGATCTCGTCTCGCGCATTAATCAGATGTTATCATCGACAACAGGGACAGCAATATATCTCCCGATAAAACAACAATATACAGTCGATAATTACAAACTGTTCAAAATGTTTTCCTTTTACTTGGTCGAAAGAAATTAATTATGATCGATTAATGGTCACATGACTATATTGTCTCGCAATAGCAAGTACCAAGAATTTTAAAGAGACGAATGTAAAGAAACTTACTTTAGAGGACATAAATTTAAATCGGGGATACCCTATACGTCATTTTTCGTTTGTATTTAGCAGGCCGAAAATCCAAATCGCGAAAGTCGCCCGATAAAACGAGTCGTGTTATATCGGCTTGTTTTTCACCATCGAACAAAGTTCGTTCAGACTTTTACTTAAAACACGTTGATCCTACACGAAAGACGTTGTTTGTCGCGACCGTTTGTGTTGTCTATTTTTTGCCGCGATTCGGCCGGCAGAAATGTTCCGATAATGCGCAGAATAAATCAGGAGCGAATTGTAAACTTGGAGAAGAAGGAAGATGGGGTATATGCAAGAGGGCATAAAAAACTGACCCTCTTACGGAGGGGATGAGTAACGCACAACACGCAAATACACAAGTACGACTACTTTTATGAACGCTCGAATGGCGCACAGGACACACATGAAAATAAGTCGCTCTCTTGTTTCTTAGGCTTCTCATTCGCTCTCGTGATTTGACTCCAAGTTGATTAGAGCGGTGCGTACACGTGCGTATTCACACTTACGTCCTTGCGTATTACTAACCGCCGGCGCAACGCGCAATCCCGCAAAGATGAGAGAGGAACCGCCGCTCCCGGTACGCGAAGAACTCGACCTTAATCCCGCACAACATGGATGAATGTGCCATTGTTCTCGATTTCGTGCTCTACCAATAAAACAACAATACTCGCGACGTTTCTCACGCGAGCCGCTTTCTTTTCTTTTTTACGCTCCGTTCTCAGCGCGCATTCAGCGGTTTCGTGTTGTTTTCTCCACCACTCTCCATCAAACGGCCATCAGATATATTCGAACTTGAGACACAATTGGTGCGCCTTAGCGCCAAGCGCGCGCGCGCGCGCGCAACGAGAACACAAGTCTATTCTTAAACAGTTTTGCGCGACGTACCGATCGCTGACGTGTTGACGCTGATCTGACGCTCTGCAGTCTAGATTGCGAGAAAACTAATTGGATCTCTTGGTTGGATTGAAGATTTGTGTTCCGTCCGAAGGACGTCCAAACACCGATCAAAAGACCGCTCTAAACGTCTTAAGGATGTCCACGAAAAGTCAAAGGGCGTCCGTAGAGAACGTCCGAAGAATCTTGGACAGTTCTTGGACGTTCTTTCGTACGGACTGATTGTCGCAAATACGACTGCAAATGCGCCTACGTCATAACGTTGCGAGTCATCCTCGAACGACTTTGCACGACTACATCGTTTCGCTCGAGCTGGTGTTTCACGTACAGAGATAGATTCGCGGGATGTTGATGCGATCGCGTCGTAACATCACGACCGTCGCGATTGTCCCCTCGCGGAAAAACCCTCGTATACCCATGTATATGTGTGTGCGTGTGTGTATGTGTGTATGTGTTAAATGTCTTTCTTTCCGTTTTTTTCTTTCCTTCTTCGATTTCATCTCCTACGTTAGCAACAGCCGACATAGTCCTGACATTAGAGCGTGACGTGCACGTACGGGACTTTAGACACGTGCGCGCGACGAAGGAACTTAACTTTTAGGTCTGATTGAACTGAATCATAACGACTACTCCACTAGCCAACTGACCGTGACAACGCGCAACACGCGTACGAATGGACGCAATCTCGACACGCGGTTATGCTCGCTGATGTACCTTCCGTTTCCTCCGCTGTCGTTGCCCACGTCCAACACCTGCCCCTCTTTAACCTCTGGCGACCCCGAAACGCTTCCTCCGAGAGAGGAACTCGACTCTGAGTGCTTCGTTCATCGATCGGCCCGGTTGCGTCGAGGGTTGATCCAGCCGTTTCTTCCTCTCTTCTTTCTCTCTCTCTATCCTTCCACCTCTCCCTCTCTCTTCTCTCTATCACTCTCTGTCACTGGCCCTTTCCTCCTTCTCTTCTTCGCCATCTTATGAACAGATTTTCAGGATTATCTGGAAAAACTTTCACGACAGCGTGCAATTTAGCGTGTAGTTCAGACCGATGACGACAGAACTGAGCCGTGAACTGAGTGAATTTTTTAGCGATATGATTTTCTAGACGAGAGAAAAAATGGCGGCGATGGATCAAAGAAAACTCCGTATAAGACGCCGTTGAGCAATCTACTTATAGGGCAATCTACCATCCGGTGAATATTTCCTCTGTTGTGACCGCCATGTTCCGGCGATTGACTGCTCGGTAAGAGAGAAGTCCGAATAAGCTTCCAGCAGTGATAATCTGGCGCGGCCAGATCTTCACGTGTCGCTAGCCGATCGACTGGCCCAAACTCTCGAATACCTGTTGTTCCTTCAAAGAGCCCTTCTAAAGCTCTTCGGATAATACAAGTAGCCCAAAGTACATCGCGAAAATCCATCGCGTTTCTTCGAATTCTCTTCGTGCCTTTTCATCATCCGGATACACACTACTACTATTGATTGATGTTCATGCCAAAAGAGTATGTCCATCTTACGATGATTCCGAAATATGAAAATTTCTGCGATACCTCTTTCTTGCGATCGCAGCACCTCGCAGCACCTCCATAAAATGACCCTCGACGCCAATCGGTAGGCTTGTCATACATCTTGCGCGACTGGATACTGGATTTGAAGAACGTTGTGGTCCATCCGAGGAAACGTTCCAAGCACCGTGTCTCTTTGTTCCTCTCGAGCGAACACAGAGAAATTACTCTCCGATCGCTCGGTGCCCGAGGTGTCTCTCGATCCATGAGGACCCTTGATACGACTGACTGCCGACATCTCCGACTGACTATACGATGACTCGAGGATCATTCTAGCCTCCTCCGTCCCCCCCCCCCCCGTCGTCCTACCATCATCTCGCTTGCCAGACTAACAAACTCGTGAGCATGCTCGTTCTCCGACATACTCTTCGAGCTGAGCACGCGACGGCCGAAAGTTGACCTCTTCTCTCTCTCCTTCATCTTTCTCTCTCCTTCTTCTCTCCTGCTTCTGTCCAGATCCTTCTTGCTCTCCGCATGCATACACACGCGCACGCACACACGTATTCTCTCTTGCTTTCGCTCTCGCCATCGCTTTGGTCTCCACATCTTCTCCCTTTCTCTTCCTCTTCCTCTTCCCCCTCCCCCCCCCTCTCTCTCTCTCTTCCCCCTTTTTCACTCTTCTCTACCAAGCTGAAGTCGGATCCGGACACGAGCGTGCCGCCACATTGCTGCTCGGCTCGGATGTGGTAGCGGGTGCCGAAGTGCGTCGGATCTCGATCGGTTTCGAGCCGGACACGGGCGGCCGGCCCAAAACCCCTTGACTGTTTCACGATAGGTTCCGCTGATCCTCGGCGCAGTCCTCCGCCTTCTTCAACGAGCGCTTCAGCTTATCGACCAGTCGATTGTGAAATTTATTGAGGGAGTTAGAGCTGCCGGTCTTGGGCGGTGATGTGCCCGTGCTCTTGCTCGGGCTTTGAAGGGAGCTCTGAGACGCCCTTGAAGACGTCCTCGAGAAGTGCCGCGAGGTCAGCGGTACGGACCGGTGCGCCGGCGAGGTCAGAAAGTCGGAACCGGGTGACGTCGACAACGATGGACCCTCCGACTTGGAGCACTCGGACACCTACGAACAGAAGGAAGCAATCTCGTGTTATACGCGTGGAAAAAGAACTTTTCCAAGAATCGAGAGATTGTCGTAAAAAAATATGTTTAGCCGTGAAAATGTTAGCCTGGCTCAACCACAGTATATTTATGGGTGACAATTTTTTTTCTTTTCTTTTTAAAAAAAAATTCATATAAATGATTAAGATACCAAATCAAAATACGAAAAAATATATATCGACGCAACGAGAGTCAAAACTGCAAGCGTTTGTTGCAAGTAAAAAAACAATTGTCGATCAGAAACAATTTTGGAAGTTCGCTTATTCGCGATCTGTGCAAATCTGTGCGATCTGTCAAGAATGCGCCGATTTATTAGCGATTATTGCATGTTGTAACGTCATGTCCGTTGAGATACTTCAATACATACTTTATCAGTCAATCTATCTATCAAACGAGACCAACTTACTTAGATGTCTTACTTACTTACTTAAGTTAAGTCGTTAGTAAATTTGCAATTTGCGAATTATCAATTACAACTCTCGTGTGCGCGCGCGCGCGTGCACAATCATCACATTCTTCTACATATCTTTGAACGTAATGATTCATCATCAACCTCCTTTCGAAAGCGCCGGCTTTCATCCTCGCGTCAGATTCCGCTCAATATTCACCGCGCGCAGCGAAATCACGGCGAAATGCAATCATCGTCGCGATAACAAGTGCTTACGAAGTCGTACGTTTTTCGCTCGTTGCCTCGTCGACGGTTGTACGGTTGGACGGTGAAAGCTACGGCGATCTTGGTGCGAGCTAAGTTCGCGAAACAACTTTAATACGCGAGTAACAGGGCAGAAATGAAATCCTCTTAATCAGCATCCTTCGTTCTCTCCTTCCTTTTTTATTCCTCTTGCGATTAGGATACCACGCCTTTCTATTGGCGATGCTACGCTACGCGCATTGCATATCTGTCGGTCGAGATCGATCCGCGATTCGAGATTGCGTTCCGTGCTTCCAATGTGTGCCCTGTTTCTTCTTTTTTCGAGACCGAGGACCGTTCACCACAGAAAACCAGAGTTTGTCTCTACGACAGTTTGCGTTAATTGCGGCAACTGATCAATCGGTAGAAAATCTCGGATATCAATCGATCACAACGAACGCGCGTAATTAATTCGCGAGGTAATTCACAGCCTGCTCATTTCCTAGTGAATTCGATATATCTAACAACTGATTGATCGTTTCCGCGAATTCGCTTCCGCGAGAGAGTTTTCAGCAACTGACTGACCGATCGATCGCGAGTGTAATTTAGCTTAGAACACGACAGAAACTGTACGCAGAAAGGTGTCTGCATGTGTACACGTGTTTTTTCACACGTACAGATGCATCGTGCTCGCGACCACCTACATTGTCATCGTGGTATAATCAGGCAAGTGCCGCCGATTAGATTAGATACATTTTCATGTGTGGCCAACCTTCCACGCGCATACAATGGCCACATGCAAGATCAGATCGCGACGACATAACATTGATACGGCTGTACAGTGACTCTCACACCTTCTCACAAACACATACACATACAGACAATCTGATGATACTTGAAACCGTGTCTTCTTTAATATGAAAAGATATTTTGATGAGAGATCGTTTTATTTTCTTTCTTTTTTCTTTTATTTCTTCTAATAAATTAGCTTAAAATATCTCAACTCTTTCGTCGTAGCTAACCAAGAAAATTACAAGGTAAAATTGGAAAATTGTAATATTAATTATACCTTCAATTCTAACAAACGCAATAATTTGCTCCAGATCCAGATTGGTTCTTACTTTTCTGCTTTTAATCTTAACCTAATCGGATTTATCAATCCTCGTCGTAGTATTACATGCGTAATTACATAATTCAACACGTGTGGCACACGACGCGTCAATATGTGCACAAGTCTATTGTCGACAAATGATTTCTCGTTTTATCTTTCTCCGTAAGGCGCTTCAATAGGGAAGCGCTTGTATGTGTGTATATATATATATATTTACAAAATGCGTCTTAACAAAGCGTCACAAGAGATAATAATAGAGGTATTGGAAGTACGCGAGCATCCACTCGCGATCGATTGCAGGTCGAGCCACGGTTGTGGGTAAACAGGTGTTTAGCGCAAGTATTAGGAAATCTGTTTGTCACATAACCGAATCCGTTGCCAAACACACTGAAATATCGATATTAAATTATGCGGATCCGACGTTGCGAAAAAGAAGAAACAAAAAAAAAGTTTTACGAATCTTCTCACTACGACTCGATCGCGACCAGCAGCGAGACGACGAGAAAAGCATCGCATATGTGTGTACGATTACGACTGAGAGTCAATAAGAACAGGCTGTAGATAGTACGAATGAGAAAAGAAGAAATGCGCAATATACGCGAATTATGGCGATGCGTTACGTAATTGGCAATGATTTCTCGTGAGATTGCACTAACGTTCTGGCAGAGTAACGATCGCAGACGTACTGCGTACTTGCCATTTTTTCGAGTCACGTGCTCGGGTTGGCTCTAAATATCGACATACAAGGACAAAGAATTACCGGCTAAAAATAACCTGTACAACTTTTTTGCCTGCCCCTTTTTCTTGACGCAATGATACATGCGCACAAAGTTGATTCATCAGATGTATACGCGAAGCGGAAATCAATCCTCTCCATCGTGTATTATCAGCTGTAACAAGTTTCGCGCGTATATCCGTGATGAATATTTGGCGTTAATGTATTGGCAATTATGCTATCGACTACACACGTAGTTAAATAATTAGCTGCATTTCCTTCATGTCAACCAAATAAAATCACTCCTCGCACTATTAAAACAACCCCTATCTGTTGTATCACACGTTATGATTTAACGTATATGTATTATTTCGAGCAGTGTGTAATTGTAGTCGGTAATGGCGAATCTCACATTACGAACAGAAGAATATAGTTTGAGATGTAAAAAAGAAATGATTGTTTTCGATCGTTTTATCTACGATAAATAACAATCTGTCGAAAAAATCTACCCCGAATAGATTCCGAATTGTGTCGGAATACAGTCACGTAGAAATGACTCGTCGAAGAAGCGGAAATTCTTTCCCTTTTTTTACAAATGAACATAAGGAAGAGATTACAAACATATCCCAAGTTGAGAACCGCCATCGCGAAGAATGCTCGATTAAACACGATGATATCTACGCTTTTTGCCGATCACTTTTCTGCGTCATTCCCAACTCGCCGTCTTTCGTAGCGATCCTCACGGACCGCCGGTTACATGGCTTTAAACACAGCAGGCCAAGTTCATGAAACGGCACCGCGAAAACGTTCAGAGCGAAACACTGAGGACTGCTTGTATCTACACGTGAAAGTGAAAATAACAAACAGTTGATATCGTAATTCTCGATATCGAATGTCTCGTTTCACATATTCTTGTCACAGCGCATCGCATTTCTACTAAAACTTTATAATGAAATATTTACATACATTTTTCACGGAGATTAGAAGATCCAAGCAAATCCGTAATGCGTATGACTTATTCAAAGTGCGCACGCATGACTTTATTTTGTATATATACGTGAGGCTCCTAATAAATTGAAATCTTAAATTAATTATATTATTAGAAAATGTTTTATCCTCTGCGCCGGAAAGGATTCTATCGGTGTCCATCAGAGCCCTAATATCGATTAAAAATGTTTGACTATTTGATAAAAATATTTTCGCGTTTATGAATATTAATCAAATTTATAATAATAAAATGTTTCCTCTCTATGTTAATGATAATAAATTTTCAACATATCGGCGAAAAAAGAATCTAAAAAAGTGTGCGAACGATAGCAAAATATGTATACACCCGGATTATTACCGTAATATTACTGGCAAATGCAACCGATATACACGGAGTGTTAGGTAACAATGCAATTGTTAGGTAACAACAAAGCTCCTTCGCGGAATCATCATAATTCCGTGCACAAAACATCACGAACAATTTGCCGAAAGAATCGTGTGGTACAAAGATAAGAATTTTAAAACGCACTTTAGCTGGAGGAACGATTGTGTTACTGATTCCCACTCGTCGGCATTATTACTTGTGCGAATTCACAATTTAATCTAAATCCAATATCGAAACGTACACGTCGTATACATAATCAACAACACATAATCGGGAAAATGATTAATCAAGTTATACAAGTTCGTTTTAAATTCGATTCAAGTATTTCGTCATATCAGCATTTGATAAAGCCTCCGATGAAAATCAATTCGATCAATTGCAATCTGCGTAGTACACCGAATGTCTAGACCAGCGGAATTATGCGATTATAGGATGACTGAGGAGACTGGGACGATAGATAAAAAAACTTCCGATTAAAAGAATCCGTATGAGAGTTCACCGTACGATATATTGCGAAACCGACGACAAGCTTGCGCAATGTCGCGTCATAGATACCAGATACACACGGTATACAGGGTGTCCTAAACCCTCCAGCAACATCTTTCGACGACAGATATAATCCGACGCAAAGTCTATGCCTCTTCCTATTGTGCAATGTTCACTAACGCCGCCGTCGCAACGCGTTCTAACTTTCGACATTAAACACCGGACTCGCACTCGAATCAAATTTGGAAGGGAGAGCGAGGTAGCAGCTTTTATTCAATTCAGGGACAGCAATAAGTGACAGCATTTGTGTAACGATCGCTTACCGTAGCGTAGAGCCGAGGCGCGTAAAGCGATTCCCGTATATAAATGTAAATCAGCAATATTTTCGACCGACCGCTGCTATCATTGCACACCGTTCGATTGCTAAGTAATTAATTAGCTACTAATTGCACAACAATTAATTGCTTATTAATACGTCAATTATACATCAAGAATAATCGTAGCCGATACTAATTAATTGCTGCGCTTAATGGCTGTCGCTATTATTACAAATTGGTATTGTCTTATTACACGAATATGCCTATATTGTTACAAATTTTACCGGAATCGCATGTAAATTGTTGCAAAAGCCGTCGGTCGCTGTCCGCCGATCGGCGACGTATTCACAGTAATATTTACGAATGCGATAAGTACGCACGCGTACATCTGCAATTCGACATTATAATGCGCATAACTGCACGCGTCCGATAGAAATAAACTCGTGACCGGCGTATATATTTATCCGCAGGACACGTGGTCGCCGATCGTCAGCCAAGCGTCATTGACTATGCTTATTCAGCATCTGCAAATACAATTTTGCCGTGCGTTTAGCGATGCCCAAAGCAAACCGGTTTTGCGCGCGCGTGCGCATGCGATGAGTTGATCTTTCATGGCAATTTTTCAACAATCTCATAGGCACTTCAACAGTTTCCGATACTTTTTTCTTTATTTTTTCTTCGCGTTATCTTATTGCCGACACATACAGAGAGAAAGAAAGAGAGAGAGAGAAAGAGAGAGAGAGAGAGAGAGAAAGAGAGAGAGAGATCGACGTCGCGATCTACGAATATCGCGTATATCGTAACTATTCTTTCCAACACATCCGGAAATCCTATGATCAATTTAAAGTAAAATATTTTTCTTTTTTAACGTAAACTTGATCGATATGCCAGATTGATATCAAAGATAAAAGAAATTCTTACATATTAATAGGCAAAAAATATATATATATATAATCTTTCTTTATACACTTTCTTTACATAGATTATTTTCACACGCAATAATTTGAATTTGAATTTTGATCGGAATGATTTTTGTACTCTAAAATTATCATTCTTCTGTTCTGGTAATGTTGACATGAAAAATGAAAAAATGGAAGAAACATACGATTATGTTTTTATTATATTTTGAACTCCTAATATATTTTTAGCGTATTTATATAATATGTTATGTTAAAAAATATGGCACATTTTGACATGCAACATATTAGAGACACATTAATGACACGTTCACACATAAATTAACAATATCTGAAGGAACTTGTGCATTTCTGTCTTGAAAAATTCACAGTTTTAGGAACTACGAGAGCCGACTAAAGCGCTTATTTCAAAAAGGAAATGCAGACAAACGAAATTCTCGCTCGAGCATCAGTCCGCGGCGCCAGTTTGCAATCCCGTCTCGCTTCTCGACAAGCTCTTAATCCTCACGAAAGCTCACTTTCAAAATAAACGCATCTTGGGCAAGCCAGCGTGTAAAGGAAATTGCGCGAAGCTAGAACAGCCGATTACCATCAGGATCGAGACGACAGAGCGATCGGATGTGCCGTACTTGACGAGACGATTCTGCCTGCTAGTTGGCCAAACCTGCGACAAAAAGTTGCGCATGCAGTGCGGCGGCAATCCTCTCTTGCGCGTTCTCTCTTACTGTCTTTGCGTCTTTGTCACGACCGCGACGGAGCGATCGAAATCGATGGGCCACATCCGCACAGTACGCGTGCCTTTCGAGCCGAGCCGTAATCTGCGAAACGACATACACGAACGAAAGACGTACTCGGCAGAGCGTGCACGTAACGATCCTCCTCGGATATTCAGATTATGCGCATAGTGGGACTTCATTTTTCACGCTGACATACATTTCAATGATTACAAATGACGCATCAAGGCGCGACAGGCGCCAGCATTGTTAAAAGTCGCTGATTTCTGTGCCTCGATCTAACACACACAGAGTGTCCACCTCGAATCGGAATCTTTCAATTCCATCGGTCTCTCGTCGGTTTCCGCTCGCGTTATCACACGCTCGTCCATTGTCACCATGCATTTCCGTGCATATGTGACAAATAGATCACGATACGATGGAACGTTAAACTTTGTGACAAATTTCGTGTTCCTTTCTGCTTGCTTCTCTTTACGATATATATATATATATATATATATATATATATATATTCGTAGGAATTTCAATTAAATCCCCGTCTCTCTTATCTTATTAATATCTGAATGTTTGCAAAATCTTTCTTACGATGCATCGTAATCGCGCACTTTGCTCCGGAGCGGAGTGTTTTGCAATTTGCGCGCTGCGCGAACTTCCCGCAACGCGTTTTCTACCCCCTATTTTCCTCCTCTTCCCCCTATTTTCGAATCGAGTCGCGTCGGAACGACTTTCTTCAAGTTTCGCACAAGCATGTGCATAAATTAAAATTTCTATACAAACACTTGGACATACATATGCTTTGAAAAGTGATCCCTGTCTATCGAGTTCCGCATTAATCCTTCACACCGGCCGCGCACACGTTCGCGCACTCAGACGCAATTAAAAAACACCGCTCCGCAACGTGACAAACATCTCGTTTCTTTCGAGCCGGGGCCGGGGCCGGGGCCGGGGCTGGGGCCGGGGGACTCACCTTTCTGCTGCGACAGGCCTGCGGATTCGAGCACTCGGACGAGCGCCGGCTGCGGTTCGTCTTGTAAATATCCCACTCATTTTTCACTACGGGCATCATAAACGCCATCTCGTACGTTGGTGTGTGTACACTCTTTCGCTCTGTCCCACCTACCTCTGGTCGGTTCTTCGCACTTACTGTTTCGCCTCACGCTCCTCGCACGCTTCGAGCCTTTTCCCTCTCGCTCTCTCGCTCTCTCTCTCTCTCTCTCTCTCTCTCTCTCTCTCTCTCTCTCTCTCTCTCTCTCTCTCTCTCTCTCTCTCTCTCTCGTGTTCTTTCCTGCCCACAGGTTCTAGAAAGTTCGATCGGCGCGCGGTACAGCTCTCGCAATGCCAAGAGGAGAAGATGAGCCTTCTCTCGGTGGCTCCGACAGGCGTTTTGACACTTCCCGGACGATGGTCCTCCGCGTGAATCAGGATTCTCCGCTGATGTCTCGATCTCGCGCGAATCTTTCAAAATATCGATCAAGATCGACTCGTCGTGTGCGCGCCAATGACGAACGGTGACCAATGAGACGTAACGTTGACGTCGCTGATCGATGTATCGTGATCGCCGCTCGACTCTCCGACGTTGCTGGCAATATCACCCGCCGCCGTTTGTCACCGATCGGATCCGGATGCTAACGCCGACTGGAAAACTGCATTCACGTCGCGCTTTCACAGGCGTATGCGTGCGTGCGTGCGATGCACCCCCGCCTTGCGTTAATTCCGACTATACTGTACGTGCGTGAGATGCGTACGTCTCTGTCTCTTTCTTTAGCTCTGCGACGTCTCGCTTTTGATTCTACAATATCCGTCCGAGGATTCACGTGCGCTCGTTGCGGCAGTTCGCTACGGAATGAGCACGCCGGCAGTCGTGTGAGTAGACGACGGATTCGCAGACGGGCTAGTGGGGACCGCAGGGCAAGCGAGCGCGTTCGCCTATTGGCCACCGTTGAGGCGGGACACCTACGTCACGAGTTACCATTGATTTTTCAATGTTGATACACAGAGCAGCGTGACGTGCTGGATTGAATTTTTGGCGACGCTCACGCCGCCGCCGCCGCCTACCTTCCTCCCTCCCTCCTCCTTTTTCCTTCTCCGCCACCATCTTCGCCTTCGCCGCCTTCGCGGAGCCGCCACCGGATACCTCACGACACTGTCGTAAATGGGAAACGGAAGGTAACGGTAGATCCATTAAATGTTCGGCCATCCGCGGGTCCCACGGGGCCGGCGTGCGCGCGCCAGAAAGTCATGCTCGCCAACATCGCGATTAGCGCACACCAGCTGTTTGCGCATAAGAATTCCCTAGCTTCAACTTACCATCGCGGTGACTAGCGCGACTGTGACGTGTTATCAGTTATATTTTAAAGCGCGTTCCCTCCAAGGACAAACAGAAGCAAAAAGCGACAGGAGACACGTGGCACGGCGAGCACGATAGTAATGATCAACAACAACGAGAGTTATATATATATATATATATATATATATAAATAAATAGATCCTCAAACCGAAATATGTTGAATGGATTAGAAGAATGAGAGAAGGTGCACTCTCGTGTGAGAAAAATCGTATTTTACCGTACATAAATGCTTTGAACACAAAATATATCTCAAATAAGCTGGTACTTGACTTGCGCGCGCGCGCGATATGCTATGCACTACATGAAAATGATACAGTTGTACCGATAAGACGTGAGGTGAGCGAACACGAGAGATAAGAATTCGGTTAAAATGATAGATTAGGTCTTTTGCGCACTTGTGCGACGAAAAATAGGTTGCAAGGAGGTAAAAATAAAGAGGTATAAAATAAAATAAATAAAAAATAGAGGTGAACGAAATATTATTTTACTGCACCCTTTCTCTCTCTTTTTTCTTTATAATTCTGTTCTTTTTTTTTTAGCTGAGCGCAATACTCACGATGCAATATTGCGCGCAGCGTAATGTAGCTGATAACGTAACTAACTACAATTTATCGAAACAAATAAGGATGGTGAGAAATCAACCGGACCCTCGCCGAGGGATATCGCTATCAATCCTCATTGATCCGTCCTCGACCCTTTGTACATGCAGTGCGAAAATACGTGTTTCTGTCCAAGGTTGACTTGGACGAGTGGGGGCAAGCAGGGTGAAACAGTTTCGCTGTTGCTGCAAATACTGCAACAATGCTCCCGAAATGTTCGTCCCATTCCAGCCCATCAGGACTGATGATACCATGATGTGGACGCGTTAAATTATACAATAAAAGTGAATTCTATTCAATGACACATCTTGCCTCTCTCCTCTCTCTCTCTCTCTCTCTCCCTCTCTCTCTCTCTCTCTCTCTCTCTCTCTCTCTCTCACTCACTCACTCACTCACTCACTCTGTCTATATCTTTATCATGATATCGCATATTGATGACATGCGTCAAAAACTGTGGTGCAAGCTTTTGTAAAAATGTTTTACATGATTTTTCGATGAATCAATAATAAAATGGTGCAATAATAAAAAATTCAAATTAACACAAAGAAATACTGGTTAATTACAATACAACGTACAAATTATTCATTTGGACGAGCACATATTTATCAGTGGAAACGTAAACTCGGTAAAGGGATGAACGCGTATTAGCAATATATTAACGGTAATATTATAATGATACATTAATTAACGGCGTATTTATAACCTATTGGCGAGAGAAACTAATACTTCCGACTTGATAAACGGAATTTTTGACAAGTGTATGGCACATTAATCAACAATTAAATGCTTTACAATGCCCATTTCAACGCTAACAAATTTTGCGCTGACGATCAATAAGTCTCTCCAAGATTGTTTGCTCACGATATAAGCTCATACGTTTTAAATAATTGACATTCGTCAATTGAAGCTATTATTTCAACAGTCATTGACAATCAACAAATAGGCAATAATGGAGATATTCTTACGAAAAAATTCATATCATGTATAAGCGAATAAGGATACGAAGGACCGCAAAAATGTCGACTCGGCTTCTGCGGTTTCCCGCGGTTATCTCGCAGTTGAAAAAGCGATTAAAATCGCATCGAGCAGACGACGATCGGTCATACTTGCGCGTAGATATATATTTCGTTGCGCATTTCACGATGGTTTTATGGCTGCTCACAAACTCGCTTAGATTTATAGAAATACAGTTATACGACGATGACGACAGTATATGTATAACAGATATGAATCGGAAATCAATATTCTACGTACACTTACTCGCGCGCCACGGCTTTGTATAGGTCGTGGTACACGATGTGAAAACATGCACGAGAAATGCTTTCGAATAATGATATTCGATGAATATTCGTCGCAAATAATTGATGTATCTCCAAGCGAATACACTTTTCTAAGTTATATCGCGTAGCATTGACACACAGCAGCAAGAAGGAAACAAAAGCACACACAACATGACGTAACGAACAAAATATTACCTTACCTTTGTAATTTATCACACAATTTATCACAGAATTTATCACAGAACGCAGATAAAAGCTCAAAAATATATTCCGCACACGAACGTGTTCATTGATGAGAGATAAGAATGAAAATCTCTACGGGTGAATGAAGTTTATAAGTTGCTGAAAAAAGTCAGAGTTAACAACAAATGATAATTTAGATCGTTAAAAAAAATAACAAGATTCATGCTATTTGTGATAGCTTTATGTCGGTTACCAACTGTTAATTATTCTTATCGTACATCGATTATCAACTTTACGAGTCGGTCATTTACCAATCGTCCACTACTTGTCGTGTGTCAGTTATATACCGACATGTAACATAAATCGCCTTAGCAATCCTGAAATTAAGTTACGCCCACCAGATTCGACCTATTTATTAGTCGACAATAATGAATTGATGAATGAATGATAGAATAATGAATTTTTATGATGAACGTTTGTACGAAAAAAGAAGATGTGTAACATTCTCTCTTGTACTCTTTGTGCAAACATCGTGTATAAATCTTGCGTGATAATGTAGTAGTTAGAAGTAGTACAAATAATAAACTGATAAAATCAATGTATATCTTTCTTCTCATTGTTAACATAATATTTCACCAAGCCAATATTGTAAAGATATATATTTTTACTAAAAATTAAAATAATCTTATCGACTTTGCTACCTGACAATTATGAAGCAGATAGTAGCCACTATTTGATCGATCGTGACATGAATTGTTACGCAATTATTATGCGACTCATGATGAGAAATTGTTTGATTGCGCGTTGCTTCGGTAAATGATTTTCTACTACGTTAATTGTCCTTTCATATTTTATTGCTTAATGCAGTTTTTATGCAGTGCAATATACAATAGGTCGTCTGATAATATCGCTAACTATCATAATAATTGAACGAGTCAGTCCAGAGCATAGATATATGCTAGTCGAGAAACAGCTTTCGTGAGGAAAGACCGGTGCATTCAACCCCCCTTATATCGATTTTTTCACAGGGGGCAAGAGTTACTCAGGAGACCGTCGCTCGCTGCTTAAGTGTCCCGTAGTTACCGATGCAACGTGGAAGAAATAAGGAAGTGCGCGTTTCCATACTCGACGAACCAAACGACAATCATAAGCAATTTTCTTAAGAATAGCAACAACACAGACAACTAGTTGAAGCGCTAAAGAACATGTGCGAAAAAATCCATGTGTATGAATCTTGTGTTAATTTCCTTATCAAGTGATTTGTGATTTTATTAATAAATGAATTACGACATACCGATACGTCTTAATAGATGTATATATATTTCAATTAAAGATATATTAGATTCAACATGTGTATGTGTGTGTGTGTGTGTGTGTGTGTGCGTGTGTGTGTGTGTGTGAGAAAGTTTGAACATAATATCATAATCAAAACTATAGTAAAAAAGTAATCGGTATGTACCACAACTTTTTTTTTATATTTTCATATTAATTCCTCGTAAGATCTCGTTTTCGTTTCTTTGTTTCGTCTAGTTTCTTTACTTTATCCCACTAAAGAAAAGGAGAGAAGAAGAAAAACAGACTTTATCATCACTAGTGTTATGTTTTATACTGATTCATATTCTTCGATCGTCTTCCACTTCCTTGCTACATGTGAGTGTTTCGAGAAAGTATATTCGCGTATGAGCTACCGTAAATCGCTACATCAAGTGTACGCTAGAGAAATGAGCACAGGGTCAGGCACAAATATAGTTCATTGTTGCCGTAAACCGCCGCACACCGAATTGACGTTGGGAAGCAATCATCAAAGATTCACAACCGCGGACATTTACCAACTCTTCAATTCTCATTTTCTTGCGCTGTATCGTGTCGTAAGGGGGGGGGGGGTAAATTAATTATCGCTACATAAACCGCAACGTGATAACGCTCAAAAGTTGAGCGCAACATCGAGTCGCGGATCGAGTGCGCAAAGACGACTCGCAAAGACGATCACGAAGAAGGAGATAACCGGTAATACTAATGTATGGGAAAAAAGAGATTGGTCGCTTTTGGTCTGTTTTGTTTGACGCGAACAGAATCTCTGATTCTTGTTGAAACCAAATTCTTTTCAGTTCTAAGCGATACACGGAATAAGACTTCTCAGTTCGTGTAACTGAGTATCATGGACCAGACGAAAATTCGGTGAGAAGAAATGTGATATTCTTCGAATACGATTCGGAAACTCCGTCTCCTTCAAAACACGTTCGACTCAATTATTGTCACGTTAATTCAAGCAATCCTCTTTCCCCATGTGGCGGTGGGTGCCGAAGCCAAGGTATCCCACGCGATTGAAGGTGTTCACGCGCTAACGTACGAGTATGCCTGACTGTGAGCGTTGAATATCCCTCAATGTAAAGGGAGGCAAGAACGCTGTGCTTTGGAGGGGTGATTGTATAGTAGGGCACTCTGCATATATCTTCAGGTCGCGACTACACGCCGTTCTGTTCCACTGGGCGCGTCGCCGGCCGCGTGCGACAGCTTTCCGCTGATCACCGGCTGGAACCGATCGCTGGATTCCCTCGGCCCTCGATCGATTCTCGTGGCTTCATGGATCGCGAGCGGCAGCTAGCCGATCGCTAGCTCGAATCAGTGGTCATCTTCGATGTGCGGTCGTGCGAGATACGAAACGAAACGAGGTTGTACTGAATTCGACATAGTCTCGATTGATCTGCAGATCGGTGATCGTTCCTGCCATCGGAGATGGCACGCTGACCCAACCGCGATATAAACGGAACGCTCTGCTCGATCGAAATCAATATTGATCGATGGCGATCGGGACGGTTATGAACAATCGAACGAATGAAGAGCCCAAATGTGACAGATGAGCCGTAAGAAAGTGATCATCACGTGTGAAGAGAGTGATATTATATTCCGGTAAGATGTATATCTAATGAGCGAAAAAAGAAGAAAGAGAGGAAGAAGAAGCGAAAAGAAGAACCGAGACCGGAGGAGCGAATGAAACCATGAAATGATCTGCGTCTGGGACCTTAAAAAACGCTCTCGATAGTGCGACTCGACCGTGCGACTACACGTGATAAAGACTAACGAGAAAAATGGTGTTTGATCCAGCGTACGAGGAGCAGAAGAAGCAATTCTTCAAGCAAAATTATGGCGCCCATTTACCCGGGTAAGTGCATATGGATTCGATCCCATAAAATTAGTTTTATGCGTGTTTTATTGACGTGGCATCAGTGGCATCATCAATCGACTTTCTCTCTGATCAACCCGTCAATCTCTCTGATACAACCGGTGAGCAATGAGAAACCAGAACAGCGCAGAGTCTCATGATTACGTCGTTAGTACTAACTGAATACGCTACAATAGCTAATTGGATTTACAGCTCCTGTTATCACGAGCACTAAATGTCTCCTTAGTTTCACCTGTTGTTGCTGCGTAATGCGTGCAAATATATACGGTGTCTGATAAAAAAGGGAGCATGTGATTGCACATATCGCTCACGCGATGTGTGCAGCAACTCTTATCTTATTATTTACTCTCGTTAGACCGTTTTTTCAAGCGCACCGGCTTAAAACAGTTTTTATAATATCAAGATATAATTGGAGCAATCGAAAATTAACAAACACTTCGGCGATAGATATACTGACGAATATATGAGACACCTGGTATTCGCCTACACAAAAAAGAATCTAATTTCTATACATGTCGCTTCTTCGATAATAAAACGAACGCCTCTAACATAGTGGTAAAGAATTCATTATATAAGGATGCATAATGTCACGTTCACTTCACGACTACATTATTATGCATTTGCGGTATTTTACCGATCGCACAGAATATCGTACAGAAGAGAGAATCAAGGTGTCACAGTTCTAAGATTACCGCCACGTCAGTTTCGACAAACCAGATCGCCGAGTGATCCCCGGAAACATGCATCCCCCTCAAGTATTGACCTCGAAGTCATGCGAGAAATGAAACTGCTGGCACGGCGGTTGGTACCGTGCCAATTTACACCCCCACGTCCATGCGAGTCTATCACGCACAAAACTACCCTGCCTTCCGCGGCTGCTGGCGTATCACTTCGCGAACTATTTATCGTGATTTACTCTATCTCCTTGAGATATCGATCCGCGCAAGAAAAAGGAGGCGGATCGAAACTGGATCGAAAGCGAGAGGAGAGAGAGAGAGAGAGAGAGAGAGAGAGAGAGAGAGAGAGAGAGAGAGAGAATTTTCATTGACAATGATATGCGTTGATATTTTACGATTCACTGCTCGCTGTGCGATATGACTCTGTGCGTCCCTCTTATCGGCGAAGCGTATCGCACGAAACACAATGGCTTACTTTAAAAGCCGGCAAGAAAGCTGACGGTAGTCCAAAGCGATCAGTTAGATACTAGCGCGATATTTCGCCTCCCTGACACTGATCTTGCAATATGGACTCGCGGCAAGACGGCGCAACGACCCAGTTACGATTTATCTCACGGTAACGGCGACACGTGACAACTAACCGAATAGGAGTGATTTCGGCGATGCACGCCGTTGCTCATCCCACCGTGACCACCGCAAAGTGAAGGTTCTATTTACTGGGTCACCGGTAGTCCGCTTTTACGGTTCTGCGATTACCTTATTTAGGGATCGGCCATGATGTACCGGTCTGACAGCCGGACTCTCGCAGCCGATTAAGCCGATGCTCACAGTCGCTCACATCGTGTGAAAATCAACAGAGTTGACGAGAATAAAGCCGAAAGTACGATTCCGATACTCGAGAAATTTCCAAACGAGATATAGAACTGCAGATAGAACAACTGGATAGAGATAACTTCCTAATGAGAGGATGGATCAACTCTCAAAATAACACCCAAATGAGAGAAATAGACAGATAAATTCGACGATACATGTTTTTTTCTTCTTCTCTAATCGATGGTACACATGCAAATTCGTATTTCTCCCTCGTAAATTTTACTACATCTTATATCGACACAGTGAATAATTATACATAGACATAGGTCTATAACAAAGAGAAACCGTACCTGTATGTGTCGTACAATATAAATCTCGTGAATTAGATACGCTTCACCTAACAGGAAAGCGGCTATAACGCATTCGTATAATATAGGTCATAATTTAGCATGCCACACTGTGTTGTCCAATACGTTCCTTTGTATTTTGGTCATGGAACACTAAGCTGCAAATCGATCGACTTATACCGACGATCCGTTGTACTACACGCGCAACAGTGAAGACCAAATGGCGCGTCATCGTACGCATGTTAATGTAACGTCGCTCTCTTCTTAAGAATGAATCAAATCTTCCCATTCCACACACAAAAGATATTTATTACATTACATTGAAATTTGTCGTATTTTGCGATCTGACGCACTCTAACCTGGATTGAAACTGCAGGCACCTTGCTTTTAGGTACACCGGACATTGTCCAACACTCAAATTTCGCGTTGGGAAGAGGTTCGGTGCGAGCACGGAAGAGATAATGAAGGTATAAAAATGCCCATGGAACATAAAAATCGCTGTTTTCAGAAAAAAAAAAAAAAAGAACAACTATGAGGTAACGCGGGTAATAAAGTGCATGCATAAAAAAATCATGCATTTGCAAATATTGTATCATATATTACAGGAATTGTTGGAGAAGAAAATACTTAAGACTGGACCGTACAGCCCAAACTCCGGTAGAGAAGTTCAGTTGTTGAGTCCGCGGGACAAGGAAATTAAAAGAGATTGGAATAACGAGGCGAGACTTTACAAGGCACCTCCCTACATCCTAGGATATACCGGTAATATTCAGGATAATATTTGAAACTTCCTTCGGATATTCTTTCATCCATGAACAAGTGACTAAACTTCGAAGAATAAAGATCGTTGTGAAACGTCAAGAGTTACATTGCTACCGTCATAAAATATTCAATTTGAAGCTTAATTGCGATCGAATTATACGCCGCATGTTCGACAAATAATAACCTCAGATTCATTAATTTTTGTGTCACAAAACGATCAGTGTCACACAAAAGTGTGCGATAAAAAAAGAAAAGAAAAAAAAAGGAAAATACGAAGTAGCGATGAAAAATTCTGACATTAGAAACTGAGATTGCCTTGGCGCGACCTTCAGCATACGCGATTAGTGAGTACTAATTGACCAACTTAAATCGCCTGCAATTAGCAGTTTGCTCGGCGCGCGCAACAAAAACTCCACGTCTATATAAATGTTCTTTGAAAGTAATGATAAGCATAAAACATTGAAAGTAATGATAAGCATAAAACATTGCTAGCAGAAACAGATTATCTCTGATATGGTTGTGTTAAAAATATAGATATTAATAATAATGAAAAGTCGTTCAATTTGTGTGTCTGATAAAACAATTTCTAATGCGGCACATACCTCTTCCGAAATGATCGTTTGATTTGATGAAGCCAGTATTGCGCCTCTCTCCAGGATATATCCCGGGCTTCAGTAGCAAGTACGGGCTACCTTTCATGAGAGCCGTGGAAGTCGGCGCCAAGGAGTGGCACGAGGCGCAAATGAAGCTGCGAGCGCGGCGAGACGCGATGAGAGCCCATGCTGAACGAACAGATCCGAGAAACCTTCTATCCCGAGCAAGGGCAGACAATGTGAACATCGAAATCGATCACGGTCATGATGAAGACAGAAAGATCTTCGGTATTATCATCATACAGTCACGTTCCGGTTGTCCGCTAACTGCTTTCGATATAATATAGCCACTGCAACAGAATCACATCACTAGTCCAAAGAAAAGCTGTTGGCTTTATGACGTGACTGCATAAAATTTGTTCGTTGTCATTGCAGATTATCATGTCTCACCGGAAAGACCGCCGATTGTTGGTTACACAGGCCACATCCCGGGTGCGAGAGGAGAAGTCGCGCTGTCCAAGAGGTACGCTCAGGCCGCCAGGAAAGGGTTGGAACGCGTTCAAAGAGAACGTGAGGAGAGACTGAACAGAGCTAAAGACATGTCAGCCGTGCAGAGGGTCCTCGATAATGCGCATCTCGACGAGACGGGACACACACGAGCATAATTTACGTGTTTACTATGTATGTCGAACCTGATATTCTCTTAATCAACTTTAATTATACTGAGGGAAAAAATATCTAAGAAATACTCATTCAATAGATATTATCAACATAGTTACTTAAACTAATGTACATATTTTTGCTGTGAAAAATTTTGCTTATTTTTTTTAATTAGAAAATATATATTTCTATCTTGAAACCGTAACTGTTCATTCCATTTAAATAAAAAAAAAAAATTAAATTTAAGTATTTTATTAATACCTACTGAATATTTTTTTTATTCTTTATATATTTTTTCTCTTAGTATGCTTATAATAAAGAAAAGGAACGCGCTGTTCGCTGAAGGAATGTTCGCTGAACATGTCTAAATAGATCTTCGAACCATTATAGACTTTTGACTAATTTCGAAGTATGACAAACGAGAAAAAACAATTTAATTTATATTTTACACTAAATTGTTGTCTAACAATTCTTTTTAGGCAACAAACACGCAGATCAGACACTAGCGTATCTAATGCTCTCGTTCGTAAATGTAATCGTAAAAATAAATCTATGTAATGTACGTAAATTACTTAACATGCTTTGAGCTTCCAATGTTCACTAGGATTGTGCGCACACTAGCATCTATGTTTCGTACTTAACACAAAAGGAGTGTAAATTCTTGGAGATATTTCTACCGGAAATATCTTCAAAGAAACAGAGGAACATCGATACGCGTGCTACTTCCATTTCGGACGAAATGAACACAGACATACAAACAGACGTACGTCCCAGCTTCAGAATTTGTGAAACGGATCGTAGCCGATGTATAAACAGTCCAAACAACATTACACTTACAAGATACTCCTACTAGCGAACTCTTATATTTCGAGATATAAGTGTGTAACGATTGTCTGTATAAATAAAAATTGATCCGTCCTGCTTTATAATCACAATACAAATGTATAAAATGGTATAATTTTTTTTCTAATCGGTAATAAAATAGTTACAGAGATATTTAAACCAAATAAATATTTGCATTTTGCAGTGCAGTGCTTAAAATAGATTAGATGTTATGATAGCTTTCTTCTTTACTGCATCATCGACATTCATCCGCGCTGCGGAAGCCTACTCATTCTCTCAGTTTCTAATTGTACAGTTCTGTTCCAGCATTCTGTATCCAGTGTTGTTTTCCCATATGACATGGACATCAGTCTAGCGAAGACAATCAATGCGTGTAGATCGTCCGTATTTATATTCCTGTTTGAGCTTCGCATTTCTACAAAATAATTTTGAACGGCCTAAAACATAAATATAAAAAGAAAAAAATATAATATAAATGTAAAAATTGAAGAGTGTAATATTAATTGCGATATCTTCGAACTCATGCTAATTAGATCAAATAATATCAGGAACTAATGATACTTAACACACCTCCGTGATTTGTTCATCAAAAACGAATTCCATGTGCCTCAATACTTCCAAATATTGACGGATATTCGCTAATCGATCGTCTTCTTTTAAATATTGACACGCAGCTTCAAGAACCTGACTGTATAAATTTTCCGATTCTGCATCGACATTTAGAACAACTTGCATGGGACACTGCGGACAAATATTTCACTGCTTAATAGATTCACAGGTAAGATATAATATATTTTAAACACGAGAAAACATTTACCGGAACAAAAGATTTTACATCAGAGAAGATTAACATTGGAATATCCGTTTCGTAATCTACCGTGTAATACTTAAAGTCGTATTTCAATTTTTGAAATATAAGTAGATCGGAGAGCGCTTTGTAGTTTTCTTTACCAGTCACGGTGAGTTCACCGGCGGTTAAACCTGTCTCGTCCAACACCAGATGTGTGTTGTTGCTTAATTGAAGGATACCGCTTGTCAATCTGTTGCATTCATAATCTTTCCTACAAAAAGAAAAAGGACAAAAACGATGTAAAGTTATTTATCACATTACAAAGATGACTCCAATGATATACCTATACATGCAATGATACCAACTTACTTGGGAATCAAGGCTAGTTCGTTCAAATTTTCCAAAGTTATTTCTAAAAAATGACTTTTCTTAACAAATAACGTTAAAAAGTTGTACAATTCTTTCGGGAATGTCCTGAGTTTGCTGGACGGGAAATTTGTTATGTTTAATGGAAACGTGCCGAGACAAAAGTAATCTTTCCTGATATATCTGAAGAAAATTTTACAAAATAAAGTGTTCTGTATACGTGTAAACTTTAGAAAGGAAATATTCGAACAAAAAACACATACATGGTGGACAACAAGTGGCATATTAAATAATCTGCAGCTAAATGATCACCAAACAATAATTGACTCAATATTATGTGTAAATCGCCCCTGATGAGCTGTGCCTTTGATATAATTTCCGGAGCATTTGCGATTTCGAGTCTGTTAAGTTCTATTATCTTTACTGCGTGTAATCGAGGTACCAGAGAAGCTGGCGGATTATGAGTGTTTATTTCGGCCTCATTCATTTCGTTTTCTGAAGCATGAATTGTACTTAACATTGGATCTAATGATACAAAACCTACTATATCAACAACCTGGTTCAACTTCAAACTTGTCCCATCATAAATCTAAAAAGTAGAAATTAGAACATAATATTCTTTGCTAGACTTTCAATGAAAAAGAAAAAAGAAAAATAAATTCTCTTAAAATCTATAAGAAAAAGGAATGTATATATCGTCTGATATATTCTCCCTTAATATCATACCTTTACTATGCAAGCTTTTCCTCCATCGATTGGAATAGGAAAATTTAATATATGATCTTCTGAAACTATACTTTGAATTTTTGCACTATAATCATTGTCATCACTTATATTTATATCAGTAGTATCTGCCAGAGTTTTTTCTCTCTTTGGAGTTGGCTCTGAGCAATCCATTTCTTCTGTATCATTATCATCTTGATCAATTAGACTTCTTTTACCTATACTATTGTTGTGTATTGTACTCATATCAGACTGTTCTATACATGTATTTCTTTCCTTTGCCCACTGGTTTAGACCAGGTGTAGAAATTATAATATAAGTTTGTCTTTCTGAATTTTCATTCTTGTTGGACTCAAATAAAATTTCTTCATGTGGCTATGTGCAACAAAGTAGAGGTTAAGAATCTTGTATATAACAATGCCATATAAATTTTAAATTCCTGAGAATAAATGTATGCAATATCATACATGAGATAAACTATTCTTACAGTATCCCACACCTGTACTGCACGATTTTTATCTAGACCCTATATTATATCCAATTTGTTCATATCACAGAAACAAGGATAATGATATAAATATTCAAAATACAACTTATCAATTGTATCATTCGAAATACAATGCATAAGTAATATCGAATGTCTTATATCTAATATTTGTACAGGGTCAAAATAAATTATACTGAATATACAGAAGGAAAACTTTAAAATTTTGCAATTTCCATAAAATTTGTTTCTCTAGAAATAACCTAATAAAACTAGCAGTAATGATAGCAAGGTCAATTACATTTAAATTAAGAAAAAAGCAATTTTTAAAGAAACTACATAAATATACATATACACATACATATACACATATAAATATACACATAAGGAAGTATATAAGGAACTTTCAAAAATTTCTAAAACTTTCCTAAATCCTTATATATGTAAAAACAAGACTTAACATTAAAAAATATAGCATAACTTACCAAGCAATAAGCTATATCTGTATACATTCCACATCTAATACTGCCTTCTCCAGTTCTGATATTCTTTACTTCATATTGTTTAAAGTAATACTCAGGATCATACATATCTTGAACCATACCTTGGAATCGGACCAATTGCTTGTCTTTTATATTGTGTAGTTGAACATCATTTAATAAAGGTATTTCTCTCAATATATCAGAATTTTTTAAAATCTGCTGACAAGATGATTCATTTGTAATATAATATTCCGAAGTCCAATCCCTCAATTCAGTAGCTAAAATCATGTACCAAAAACAAAATGATAAACAGATAAACAATCATAACAATACATAAAATTTTTAAGATTCATTAGCTTTTATCCAATCGTTTATTGTACATTTTTATCTCTGATAAACCTCCTTCAATGCTCAAAAGTGCATTTATTTAATAACAAAATACACAAATTATAAAAAAATATAATTGAAAGTTCAAAATTTATTCAAATATTCATTCCAAATATTATGCATATATAAAATGCAATTATACATACCAGTCATTTTAGAAATAAAATATTTTAATATTTATCAGCACTTTCTTTCAGCTGGAATTCTTACTTTAAGTATTTTCTGTCAGAAATAGAAAATATCACTCTTTAACTTTCCCTTCTATTTTTAATGTTTATTTTTCACAGAAACAAAATTGTCATACCGTACAAACTAACAGAACATCCAAAGATAGCAGAGAGGAACAGGAGGGAAAGTATCGGCAGAGAGAAACATGAGAGCGGCCAACACGGCATTTTCGGCGACACCGACTTTCCGCACTGTGAAAGGGCGCCATCTGCATCCATTTTGAGAGGGGAACTACGATGCTACATCCACTTTTACGTCTTGGTGGTAAAATCTGCATGTGGTGGAAGTCCGTGCTACATCCACTTTCAGGCGGTTTATGTCCGTGCTGCAACCATAGTTACTATCTCTATGCCAGACAATGGGCCTGTTCGTTTTGTCTGCACTGCTGAACTGGTGCAACAAGTTGAAGTGAGAAAATCTACGTTTGTTTCACTTTAACTTAATGCACTAATTCAGCAGTGCAGACAAAACGAACAGGCCTTATGCCAGAAGGACTAAAAAGAGCGGCGGGGGGGGGAGCAGGAAAAATCAAAGTACATATTAAATATTAAATCCTCTACATACATGTTGCCGTATCAAAGTCTCCTGTATAATAAACGAATTGATACGTCTGGAGACGCATGATGTATCGTTGCTCGCGTCCCGTTCCCTTCGTCCTGCTTCTCAATTCAGCATCCCGTCCGCTCCGGACATTCGCTCGTGGCACTGACAATGGCCGTCGGTGAGCATTCGATCCGCTTGGAGGAGCACATGTTAATTAACGCGACGAGACTCCGATTATAAATATCCCGCGAGTCGACAAAATATTTAAAAAGATATTTAAAAAGATATTTAAAAAGATATTTGAAAAAAGATATTTTTTTTAAATATTGGGCACTATTAACAAACGTGTTAAATTTTTATAACACGATATAATTTTTACTTTTAAAAGTTTATGTAAATATATTATAAAAATATATGTTATGTACATAATATATATCTTAAAAAAGAAAATAATTTGAATTTGAGATTTCTAAAAATATTAAGTTAAGTATACAATAATCATATATATATATATGTTAGGTTTCTCAGTTGGCGCTACTGTTCTAATATATCACTTCTTTTGTGCAGTAGAAAAGTGTTGCAGAGTTTTATTATAGTTATAAGTTTTATTTGTAAAAACTTATGTACACATATAATATATAAAATAAAAAAAATAATTTGAGTTTGATACCTCTAAAAAGTACAAACAACAATACGTGTTGCGCTTGTACTTGGCGCCTTTTTTTACCTTTTTGTTTAAAAAGGTAAGTTTTATATAATATCAAATATACATACGTTTCACGTATAACGTAATTGACTTGGAGTACTCCGTGCCCACGGTGTTATTCATAGCGACGCATTCATACTTTCCCTGATCTGTTACATCGGATTCGATAATCCGCAAGGCATCTGAAACATAAAATGTGATATTCTCGAATAGCGTTCCTCTCCAGATTTTCTTGTCCAAAGAAAGATCAATGATGCGATCGCAGATCTCGTGTATGTCATGTCAATAGAGACAGTTTGAATTCGGCATAATATGATTCTTGGAACAGACGTAAATAAGTATTGTGAAGTTTAAAGCGAGTCTCTCACAGACATGCTTTGAAAACATGAGTTGTTTTCATTTTCAGCTAACGGACGACGCAGGCATCAACACTGATCGGCAAGGTCAGTGACTGATGGGGGGTAACCGTGCCTTCCCGATTGTTTGTTTTCGTACGCTTATATATGATTCCGTGATTGCGGAAAGGACATTGCGCCTCGGGCCGACGAACGACGCGCATATCGCGACGCAGAGTAGTACGAGTGTCGGTTAATACGCGTTTCTTTGTACAAATCTTACTTGCGCGAGTGTTAGAGCTAGAGTCAGTGTCGTCGCTAGTGCTACGATGGAGTATCCGGGGGTGCTGCGACGGAATAACCAGAAGGAGGACGTCGGATCGAGAAGTCAGGATGGAGAGAGGACTTGGAGCGCGCCGAGAGACGTGGACAGCGATACATCATGTATGGTATTCGAGGTACCTCGAGTCATTATTATTACGCAGGATTTTTCTGATTTTAACGGACCTTACTCGAAGTAAGGACATACCCGAGTCGAAATTAGATCGGCATTCATAGTTTATCATCTGAAAAATGATAAAATAGCTTGAGATTTGATTATTCGTTCACCTAATTTCACGTAACATGAGTTCTACTTTTCTTTTCTCATAAAATATGAATGTCTATTCAAGCAAGGTTGCTGAAGCAAGCTAAGGTTTATGAATACAAATTTTTAATTATGTTCTCAATAAAAAGTTGCACATAATTTAGAAAACTATGAATAATGATCTTAGAATCTGATATAAATTTTGCAAGTGTTGATTTTTATTCGTCTAATAATGCTCAGATTGCTGTTTTCGTTTAGAATCTGCTAGAATGTCCGTTTCTCATTCTTGTTTATCTTTCTTATTGTACCGAATCTGAATTAAAATCTCTATTAGTAAAACAGCATTATTAGACATAACCGTTGTCTTTGCCTTTGCAGCTTCAGCTCTTTTGAGAGCTACAATTCTCATCATTCTCATTAGAAAAAAGAAAAGAAAAAAAGAGAAGAAAAAAGGAAAAGGAACTTTAAGAATGATAAGAATAAAAAGTGTTTTCCATCTCCCCATTTCCTCCAATTCTTATATGATTATTTAATCCTTATATATTTATCTCACGCGAAGTTCTAAAAAAGGCAGTTCTATTTACGTTTTTATCTTTGTTCTCTTTCTTACGCTGTTAAGCGAATATATAATCAACATCAACAAAAATTGCTCATTTATTAATTAAGAATATAAGGATTAAGTACATATACATTATCGAGATAAACGAGTATTAAATAACTGCGGAATACGTTGCTGTTGAAGACTCATCATGGGCAAGACTACAAGAGTAGCAAGATGTAACGTTCAGGTAGGACAAAGTTTGTTCACTATTGCGCATCTAGATATTTTGCATTGATTTTTCAAATTGGATGCAATTTGCAGGATTAATGTAGAATTAATATTTCGACTCGGAAAAGATTTCTTTTATCAAATCCTAACTTGTAGAAAAATACCGATTTGAATGTCTGCAAGAAAAAAACGGAGTTAATTTGTTGAATAAATTAGAGGGGTAAGTACCTGAAAAATGAGAACAAATTGTCATTGCACTTGGACAATCTTCTGACACTGATTTATGATATTGATCGATATTCGATTTTCGTTACTGATTTACTCTTTCATTTCTCTATAAGAAAAAAAATTAATACGACTCGTTCATTTATCCGCGTTATTTTGATGAATAAATTAAATATTGATCGGTCTTCAATCTTCGGTACTGATTTATTCTCTCATTTCTTTATAAGACAAGAAAAATTGATAAGAATCATTCGTTTATTCGAGTTAATTTGTTGAGTAAATTAGAAAGATAAATATCTGAAAAATGAGAACAAATTGTCATTGTACTTGGACAATTTTCTGACACTGATTTACGGTATTGATCGATATTCGATTTTCGGTACTGATTTATTCTTTCATTTCTCTTTAAGAAAAAAAATTCATATGAATCGTTCATTTATCCGCGTTAATTTGATGAATAAATTAAATATTGATCGGTCTCCAATTTTCGGTACTGACTGATTCTCTAATTTCTTTATAAGAGAATAAAAATTGATACGAATCGTTCTTTTATCCGACTTAATTTGAATAAATTAGTGGGGTAAGTACCTGCAAGATAAAAAACAACTTGTCATTGCAACTTGGACAATTTTCTTGACATTGATTTATAGTATTAATCAATATCCGGTTTTCGATACTAATTTAGTCTTTGATTTCTCTATAAAAGAAAAAAAGATTGATACAAATTGTTCATTTATCCGCGTTAATTTGATAAAAAATTAGATATTGTACGGTCTTCGATTTTCGGTACTGATTTATTTCCTCATTGTTTTATCAAACAAAAAAATTGATACGAATCGTTCGTTTATCCGAGTTAATTTGTTGAATAAGATTAGAGGGGTAAGTACCTGAAAAATGAGAACAAATTGTCATTGCACTTGGACAATTTTCTGACACTGATTTATGGTATTAATCGATATTCGATTTTCGATACTGATTTATTTTCTAATTTTTTTAAAAGACAAAAGAAATTGGTACGATTCGTTCATTTATCCGCGTTAATTTTATGAATAAATTAAATATTGATCGGTCTTCAATTTTCGGTACTGACTGATTCTCTAATTTCTTTATAAGAGAATAAAAACTGATACGAATCGTTCTTTTATCCGACTTAATTTGTTGAGTAAATTAGTGGGGTAAGTACCTGCAAGATGAAAACAACTTGTCATTGCACTTGGACAGTTTTCTAACACTGATTTATAGTATTAATCAATATCCGGTTTTCGATACTGATTTAGTCTTTGATTTCTCTATAAAAGAAAAAAAGATTGATACAAATTGTTCATTTATCCGCGTTAATTTGATAAAAAATTAGATATTGTACGGTCTTCGATTTTCGGTACTGATTTATTTCCTCATTGTTTTATCAGACAAAAAAAATGGATACGAATCGTTCGTTTATCCGAGTTAATTTGTTGAATAAGATTAGAGGGGTAAGTACTTGAAAAATGAGAACAAACTGTCATTGCACTTGGACAATTTTTTGACACTGATTTATGGTATTAATCGATATTCGATTTTTCGTGCTGATTTACTCTTTCATTTATCAATAAGATTCAAATAAGAAAAAAAATTGATACGAATCGTTCATTTATCCACGTTAATTTTATGAATAAATTAAATATTAATCGGTCTTCAATTTTCGGTACTGACTGATTCTCTAATTTCTTTATAAGAGAATAAAAATTGATACGAATCGTTCTTTTATCCGACTTAATTTGTTGAGTAAATTAGTGGGGTAAGTACCTGCAAGATGAAAACAACTTGTTATTGCACTTGGACAATTCTCTTGACATTGATTTATGGTATTGATCAGTCTTCGATTTTCGGTACAGATTTATTTTCTCATTTTTTTATAAGACAAAAAAAATTGATACGAATCGTTCGTTTATCCGAGTTAATTTGTTGAATAAGATTAGGGGGTAAGTATCTG